AAAGTGTTGGGATTACAGGTGTGAGCCACCACACCTGGCCTTAAGTAGGGTTTTATGGTTGATAAAATATGTTCTTTCTCTATTTCTTATTACCTCATTCATCTTAATTACACTCCTGTTACAACCGGGTCATTGTTATTCTCATGTTACAAATAAGAAAGTTTTCACCGTCACATTGTTTCTATGTGGTGGAGATGCCCCAGAGGGCTTTGCTTTGCAACACTGTAACACTGCTCCCCCACCTGCTCCCTGTCATTCCATGAATATCATGGCAGATCTACTTTGAGCACCAGGCCACCTGCACATTGAGTCACACCTGAACACATAAAACTTCCTGCTTTCCTGTGATGATTTGTTCAGCAACCTGTTGTGACCTGCACCCTGATCAGCTGCCCCTCAGTACACCCTAATTCTACCTAATAGGTATAATTGCTGGCTGGGTGCGGTGGCTCACGCTTGTAATCCCAGCACTTTGGGGGGCCAAGGCGAGTGGATTGCCTGAGCTCAGGCATTTGAGACCAGCCTGGCCAGCATGGTGAAACCCTGTCTCTATTAAAAATACAAAAAAATCAGCCAGGCATGGTGGCACATGCCTTGTAATCCAACTACCCCTTGGGACACTGATGCCGGAGAATTGCTTGAACGTGAGAGGCAGATGTTGCAGTGAGCCGAGATCGTGCCACTGCATCCCAGCCTGGACGACAGAGCAAGACCCTGTCTCAAAAAAAAAAAAAAAAAAAAAAAGAAAGAAAGAAAGAATAGAAGAAAAATTGTCAGTTACTGACCTAGGGTCAGTAGTCAAAATAAGCAGAGTACGATCCCCAAAATGCACTCTTCTCCCTTGTGATTTCCAGAGACCACATAATGACTCAATTTGGATGACAAATCCTAAAAGACCTTGACCACGCTCATGCCTCTAACACTGTACTCTTCATTCTCCAGAAGAAGAAAGAAAAAAGGGGAAGAAGAAGCGGGGAGGAGGAGAGGAGGACAAAGGGGAGGAGGAGAAGTCGGGGGAGGAGGAGAGGGAGTGGGAGGGAGAGGAAGAGGAGGGAAAGGGAGGGGGAGAGTGAGTGGGAGGGAGAGGAGGAGGAGAGAAAGGGAAGGGGAGGGGGAAGGGAGGGAGAGGAAGAGGAGGGAAAGGGAGGGGGAAGGGAGGGAGAGGAAGAGGAGGGAAAGGGAGGGGAAGGGGGAGGGAGAGGAAGAGGAGGGACAGAGGGGGGAGGAGAGGAGAGGGGAGGAGGAAGGACAGGGAGGGGGAGGAGAGGGGAGGAGGAGGAAGAAGATAAGGAGAGGACAACAAGGAGGGCAAGGAGGAGTGGAGGGGAACACAACACACTTTACTTCTAATAATTTCTTGATAGTAACAAATGGAAACCTGACATGACGTTTGTGTTTCTGGGGTGATGCTGGCTCTCAGCTTTGTGTGACCGCTCAGCTTTGTCTTTGGTTCCTCGTTCAGGTCCTGCTCCTGGGCTCACAGAAGGCCATCCCAAAATGGGCCAGTGGCTGATGGAGCCCCAGAAAGCCAGAGCTATAGAAGTGGATGCCAAAGCCCAGAGACGTGAAATGACTTGTCCTAGGTCACACAGCTAGTTAATGTCATAACTAGGCTAGGCCGTCAGGATTAGGTCTGTTTATTCCTCATCTGATCCTCCCTCAACCACCTTGTGACTTGACCATTTCTCTCTTCAGCCCCTCCCAGCAACAGCAGAGAGCACTGTGTACCAAAGGCACCATGCTCCAATCCTGCCTTGCTGCAGAGAACGTTATCCTGTCCCATACACGAAATTGTAGCGGTGAGCTCAGCAGAACTGAATTGTGTACCGCAGCAGCTGTGGGGTGTCAAAGCCTGCAGAGAATCGGCCACACATCCAGGGAAGGTGTGTGGAAGGGCTGCACCACCCTTTCTTCAAATAAGCCTCAGAGGACTGACTCCTACAACCATTACAGAGCTGCCTCCAGAAATATGGAGCTATGTTACTAGTAAATTTATTTTAAGGCTGGGCAACAAAGCAAAACCCTGTCTCTACAAAAAATAATAATAATTTAAAAAATAAATAAATAAACTGGGTGTGATGGCATGCGCCTGTAGTCCCAGCTAGTCTCAGAAGGCTGAGGTGGGAGATTGTTTGAGCCCAGGAGGTGGAGGCTGCAGTGAGCCATGACTGCACCATTGCACCCCAGTCTGGGTGACAGAGCGAGACCCTGTCTCTAAAATTTTTTAAAAAAATGATTCTAGGTAGCTTAGGCTTTATCTTGGAAAAATCAATTCCATACATAAGACAACACAGTGGGCGGGGGGGAAATATTTCCTAATATTCACCCTAGAGGTAGCCCTCTAGTGATTTTAGAGTTCTTCCGGTGGTGTTCTGAGACTGTGGACATCACAACTGGGCCTTCTTAAAGGTGTAGGCTACTTTAATAATATCCCCTTGAATTTGGTTCGTTCCCCGTAAGAACTTTCCTGTCACTTGCCACACTGCTGTTTCTGCCATCCATTCATCATCCCGTGCGCTCTCTGCATTTCTGCTTAATTTAAGGTGCTGTAGCTGCCACTGTAGTGTGGAGCTGCCATACTTCTCCTGCTTTTGCACTTGGGAAAGGATGTGTCTTCTGATTTGTTTCTAATGCTCTGATAAACTCCAACGTTTTCCTAGCTTATTGAGCACCATGGCTCATCAGTTGCACTGTCTTCTTTGCTACATGGTAGTTGGTGGCAGAAAGCCCATCTTTCTGTAAAGACTTTTATAGTCTCTGCACCTCCTCCCTCTCACGAGGGAAAAATGCATCTCTTCAACTGTCCCACAGTGGAGTGGAGTACCATTCTATGATACTTTCATAGAAAACTTCTGGTGGCTCATCCTTGCTGGGTGGCATTTTCATTGTTAGAAGAAATTCATCTGACCTGTGAATATGGGAAATTGACCATGCATTCTCTTCTTTACATTAGTGGCCTTCTTTATAAGGCCACTAATAAAGGCTAATTCCATCTCCTATTTTTGTGGAATTCTCCTTTTCATACTCTTCCATATAAGGGCTACATTTATGATCTTTAACGTACCTCTGGTCTATAGTTTTAAAAAGTATCCTGACTTACTTTATAGTGTTAGGTGTTGACTGTTTTTTGTTTTTGTTTTTTTTGTTTTTTGTTTTGTTTTGTTTTGTTTTTGAGACAGGATCCCTCTCTGTTGCCCAGGCTGGAATGCAGTCACACCATCATGGCCCAGTGTAGCCTCCACCTCCCAGGCTCAAGTGATTCCCCTGCCTCAGCCCTTTGAGAAGCTGAGACTACAGGAACACACCATTATGCCTGGCTAATTTTTCAATTTTTTGTAGAGAAGGAGTTTCACCATGCTGCCCAGGCTGGTCTCGAACTCCTGGGTTCAAGTGATCCTCTTGCCTCGGCCTCCCAAAGTGCTGGGATTACGGGCATGAGCCACTGTGCCCGGCCTGGTGTTTACCCTTGTCAAGAATTGTTTTAAAAGTCTCAAATTGTATCCACTGGCTTCCCTTCATCCACATCTTTGCATATTGTTCAAACAATGTTAGCTGGCAAGCCAGGAATCAGTTTCTCTGAAAAAAAAATTGTTCCCATTGTTTAAATGCATTCATTTCTATAACAAGCCCAGTCTTTATTATAAACCCTGCCCCAGGTGAATGTCACAGTCAGCAGGCTGTCATTGCCAGAGCTCCGCATCCGCCCCACCCCACTCCCACCTGTGTAAGGCATCCCAATAGTCCTTCACTCACTCTGCATGTGTACTTACAGTTTATATATTTTGACAAACAATTTTCTAATTTCACCTTTGGGCTCCTTCAAAATCTGAGAAAGATGTCATCCTGACCGAAGATGATTATAATGCATCTGGTTTTGGAAATCAGGTGAGTCTAGTTAATGCTAGCCCCCTAAAAACATGTCTGTAAGTCAGGTATCTACCGTGTGCATGATAAAGATTCATTGAGAGGTTCAGCTTGAATGTGCTCTGGTGATTCAGGGTTTGTATTGGAGCCAGCAGACTCCTACGGAGCAGTGCAAAAATCAGAGCCAGGTGTCATTCCAGATAAAGTCTGAAAACCCCAATCTGATATCCAGGCATCCCAAAGCCTGTCTCTGTGGGTCTCTCCATCCTGCTTCTACCTCTATCTCTGCCATTATTTCCCACCCAGCCTGTGAACATCCCACCTCGTTGTACTTGAACACAGAATGTATACTAACTTGCAGCATTAATCATTTTTTATACTGTCATACCCTGTTTGTCCAAATAGATGGGGAGTTACTTCGGTGGGTGCCATGTCTCCCACCTCTTTGAAATCCCATCACCCAATCAGTGTTTCAAAAAGGTAGCAAAGTGTGATCATATTTATAGTATTTGCTGTATTTGCCCACGTACTCTTGTGCTATAAAACGACATCTGGTTTATCAGGTCTGAATTAGGCAATAATGTATTTATTAGCAAGTATGAACAATGTCTCATTACACTCCTCCTATTAGGAAATCTACAGTTGGGAGGTATTTCAAGGCAGTTTCTTTTTACTTCTTCCCATGAAATGATGGGTCTAATCAATTATTTTTTCTGTCTGTCTTCTACTTTTGTTTCTAAGAGTCTAAGAAGTTCAGAAAACGTAGGAACACACAGGGAGGTCAGGAGAATGTCGATAACTCCAACAGAAGAGAAATGGGCTCCTCCTCTGTCCCAATGATAATGAAAATAGAAGATGCTTTTCACTGAGGGTAAAGCCCTTTTAGCAGCTGTAGATTTAGCCACAGAAAAATCGCTCACTTTATTAAAGAAAAATGCAAAAAAAAAAAAAAAAAAAAAAAAACCTCTTCAAGCTGGCACTTGTCAGCAGGACAATGCTGAGAACATTTTCTCAACTCAGCTGGGATACCCCAGGAAGGAACATATTGAGGAACAGAGGGTAACACTCTTCCAATCTGTTGGGACTACGCCAGAGAAAATCAGGCAACAGATAAACGAGGCTTGTCAGTCACCCCACTGGTTTCAGGGGCACATTGCTCACTACCGCCTCCACGCAATGAGTCACCCCTTGCAGAACCCATCACAGCTCAGGTTTAATCAACCTCACAGCAGCGGGAAGGTGCATCACTCTGTCTTGCCATCAAAGTTGGGCCACTGCAGCACCAAGGCGTAGAGGGAGAGCTACAGGTTACATAGGTGAGAAGAGTATCGGGGACAGTGTCCATGGGAGGGGAGGAAAGAAGATTCCCAGGAAGAGGTATGTGAAGCCCACTGAGCCGTGCGCTCAGCCATAGTGATCTGGTCCCAGGGAAAGAGGTGGTCACTGAGGCGTCATGAATTCAGGGAGCACTTTCTGCAGCTACTCCTCATGGTCAGGCTCATCATCACTGTCCTCCCCCAGGGGAAATTCCTTCGTGGGCTTCTGGGTTGCGTACGTTCGGGTCTCCATGGGGCAGTCCTGACTCAGAATAGCCTGCAGAGAGAGGCAAGAAAAGAAGCCACTGCACATCTTTTTTTTTTTTTTTCCCCCACCAGTCTCCCCATTCTGTTCTCCCACTAGTTCATCCAAGTCTGGCATTGCTAAGTACCCAAGAAACATGCACAAGACCCCCTGCCTGTGCATGCACCAACCTCCCGAGGTACCCAATATATCAACCCTTGTCAGGACAAATATCTCATACACTTTTAACTGAATCTAATGGTGGTAGTGGAAGTTACAGCAGGAAGACAAACGGAATCAACACCGTTCCCTATCACACCTTCCTGTCTTCTTTTGTTCCCTTGAGCAGCCTCTGTCGCCATCCCAAACCCATCAGGCCCTCAGGATGTCTGCGCTGCAGTAAGAGGAAAGTGCTTTATTAAAGAAAATCCTGTGGTGTGGATCTCTTCCCTGGGATTTTTGTACTTTTAAAAAGGTGACCTGCTGACCAACATGGAGAAACTCCATCTCTACTAAAAATACAAAAAATTAGCCAGACATGGTGGTACATGCCTGTAATCCCAGCTACTTGGGAGGCCAAGGCAGGAGAATTGCTTGAACCTGGGAGGCGGAGGTTGTGGTGAGCCAAGATCACGCCATTGCACTCTGGCCTGGGCAACAAGAGTGAAACTCCGTCTCAAAAAAAAAAAAAAAAAAAAAAAAAAAAAAGACCTGATAAGGATAACGGTGCACTAGACTGAGAGGATGAATGGATGTGCCAATGGAATTCTGCCCACTTATGAGGGAGATAACTTGGTAATTCACATCTTGCTAGTAACTAGCAAGTTTGGAACAGTAACTACAGGATGTCTTTGATGGTCTTCTGCCCCCATTTCCCTTCTCTACTGAAGACCCTTCCTGATAGCCCCAGAAAGAGAGGAAGTGGTGACTTAGAGAAGGGAAATTAAGGAAGTGCACAAAAGAAATACGAAGATGAAAGGGGATTGGGAAACATGGCAAAGCAGAGAGAATATCAATAGAGCATTAGAGGGAGGAAATAACAGCCCAGGATGAAAGGGAATGAGAGGGATGATGGAAAGAAACAGAAGTGAATTTTTTTTTTTTCCCCAGCAGTCGGCGCTCCTTACAAGCTTCTCTTCCTTGGCTGGGGGGCTCCGCAGGTAGTAGCAGAGTGGAGCATAGACGATGTTGACGACCCCAGTGATGACCATGAGCCAGGGGAAACCGATGGCCTGTACAATGGCACCCCCGGTGGATGGACCTGGGAGGGATACATCAAAGTCACAAGTGTCTATGGAGCCTCCATATGGAGCATCCTCCACGTAAAATGCTATGCTAGGGGCAGTGGGTGACCCAGAGGATGTCTCAGGGTCACAGATCTCCAGAACCCTAGGAGGATAGCTTCCTGGCTGCACTTGCAGCTGGAAAACAGTAGATAGGGGAAAGTGAGACACCAGGTCTTGCCAACATACCTATAGCAAAGCCCATGCAAAAAGCCACATCAGCGATGGCGTAGACACTCCCATACACCGAGGTGTGGCGTAGATCCACCAGGTGCCCCATGATGGGCATCATAGAGGAATCCACCATGCCTGTGGCCAGAGCAAACAGGACACAGTCAGCACCACCCATAGTCAGTACCATCCCTCCTGTACCTCCATTTAGTCCACTCTCTTTGCCTGTTGTCTTCTGCCTCGGACCAACACCTATTCCAGGTGGGAATTACGAGCTCATCTCTCTACACCCCTGCCAGCTGCCCTCCTCTTCCTTCTGCCTCTCCACCTACCTCCTCTGATGAGAAAAGGGGGAGGAAAGGCAACAGACCCAAAGCCAACATTCAGGGGCTTCTCATTTTCTTCAAGGGTACTTCTTACCTATGGCAAGGCCAAGCCCTGCATTGGGGCCAATGAGACCAAAAATATTGTGAGCCAGAGGAACCTGCAAGAGGAAGGAGGAGGAGTCATCAGGACTCCAGAGGGGTCAGGTGGGAGCAAGGTTCAAAGAGTTTTCACATGAAATGCATTTATTCAGAGTGCACTATTGGCCGCATACATCATCCTCCTGCACTCTCATACTTCCTCACTGAAAAGAATCCATACCTCCTTTTTAAGGATGTGAAAACTTGACCAGTGCCATTGTGTTTATTGCTCTATCCAAAGTTACAGATCTAATGAACGGCAAGATCAAGTTTGGACCTCAGACTTGACTCCACTGTGCTCTAATGAGGGTCTTCCTCTGTCGCATGGATACCTTCTCCCCTACCTCTACCCCCTCCACCTAAACATATGCTCCTGGCCTCATTCTTCATGGAATAAAGTTGCCTCTGTTTTCCATTATGGACATCACCAAAATGTTTTATTTAGACTTCTAACTTGGTAACTGTTGGAGAAAGAAGACAGAGAAGAGACCCCAAAAACCAGTTAGCTGTAAGTTAGAGAGGGCGGGTGGTGTGGCTTGAGTGCCATGTCAGAAAGCTTGTGAGACTCATTCCTGTTGCCCTCCCAATCCCCCAACAAAAACCCTTTCTTCCCTCTTTTGCAGGTTCCTCCTCTCCCTTTCTGGGCACCTGTCATTCAAACCTGCTACCCCAGGACACTCACCCCTCAAGGGTTTAGCATACTATTTAGATGTTACTGGCTGATAGCAATTTTTTGGGTTCATGCCTCAAGAAATGTTTATAATTTATCGATAGTACTGGCTGAGATTCACTATGGACTCACCACGTGCCAGACACTGTGGTTTATGTGGATTACCTCGACAACCCTGTGGACACTATCAGAACCCTCTCTACACAGATGAGGATGCTGAGCACACAGAGATGAGGCAACCTGCTCAAAGTCACATGCATAGAAAGTGGCAAACCTGCCATGGAACCCGGATCCCATGCTCCTGCTCAGGACCTCCAGCTAGTCTTGAGCACAGTGTACAGTGCCTTGTAGCCCTGTTCTTCTCCCCCTCAAGCCTAGGAGATTTGTGTGTTTCTCATCCCCACTGGGGAGAGGAGGAAATGAAGGCTTTGAGAGTTTGAGGGGGACTCTTGGAAATGGAAAAGTCCTTCTTTCTTTCTTCTTCCATCAAGCCTCTGGTGCCAGAGACTGGAGCATAGGTGATGGTTCCCTGGGGACTTATGAGGATCTCTCAGGGTGGGATGAGTAAATGAAGTCACAAAATGCACCATTTTGCCATTCCCAGAAGTGGACACCAACGTGTATCACTTCATATGCCCACACATACAGCCTCAGACCTCTGGCTCCAGCTGCCCTACAGCCCTCTCCCTCTCCTTTCCCACTTCCTCTCAATGGAAAGCCACTGCAGCTGGTGGTATCTCCCCCAGGGCTAAATTCCTGCCTACTCAGAAACACTCTTTCTGACAGTCCTTGCCAAGCCAACTCTGCTCATTTTAAAGGAAAGTAGTCTTTAAATGTCTGGGTCTCTCTCTCTCTCTCTCTTTCTCTTCCCTTCCCCTCTCCCAGGTCTTCTTATACTTACACAGAGCAAGCTGGTACCTACTGCCAGCATCCCGATTAGGGAACACAGCCACCTGGAAGAAAAGGGCCATCATCAAACACCGACAGGGGAGAGCTCCCCTCCACCTGTACCCCATCACCACCATGCTGACCTGTTCCACCAGCCCTAATCCCAGCAACCCCTTAGGACCTGAGAACAGCACCCCACATGACCAGTTTGTACCCAAGTGAGCTCTCTCCCTGCCCTTTCCTTGTCCCACGCTGGCTCCACACCTTTTTCTATAGGCAGAGGAGGTGCCATGGGACACAGTCTTCCTTCCCTTACAGGAGGAATCAGCTGACTCAGAAGGCACTTGGTCCTTGGAAAGAGCCCTCAAACTTAACTCTTGCTGTTGCCCAGTTCAGACCGCCTCCTAACTGTCCATATTTTATTTGGTCCTTGAGGTCCGTCTCAAAAACCACAGAAAGTACCAAACTTCTTTCTTTCTCTGATGTCCTATGGCAGTGCTTCTAAAATCTTGGTGCTGAACTCCAAAGATAAAATTAAAGCTGTCCTTATTGTGGTGGAGGGACAGAATCTAGACTCATACCTCTTGGCCCCCAACCTTCCTCCTCAGTGGCCTCTGGGGTGCCTCTGTAGAACTCCATAGGGTTCCATGGAACATAATTTGAAAACTACTTTCCCAAAGTACTGCATTTTTAATAGCTGTTCTCTGATGTGGTTATTTTATCTCTTCAACTGGACAGCAAATGGATGGAAAGTAAGGGGTGCCCCTCATGTATCCACTGCCTCTTCCATACCAATCAGCTCAGAGCTCAGGACTATCCATTCTCCATACCACCCTCACCACCCACCACCCACCCACCCTCCCGGTAGGAAGTTTTTATCAGTGTGTACTTGTCCTAAACCTTCAACCATGGGGAAGCTGTTCATCATTCCAAGACCAGGGACAGGCGCTCTCCCATCTTACATTTCTATTGTTTGTCCCAGATCTCCAGGCTACATACCGACCCATCTTGTTGGCCAACACACCAAAGAGGTTGGTGCCAATGAGGTAGGACACGCTGGCAGGCAAGAAAGCTAGACCTGTGGAAGGACACAGATCCTTACCTTATTACATGCCCAGTTTATTCTAAAATGCCTTGTCTCCTATGACACAGTGAAGTCCAACCCTGTAACCTTCCAAGATCCCCAAACCACTTTGTTTTATGATTTGGGGATCTTTGTGCAAACCCACAGTAGTTGCCATAGGACCCCCACACCTCTCCTTTCTTCAGGAGCAGGGTTTTGTGTAGCCTCAATCCTTTTTTTTTTTTTTTTTTTTTTTTTTTTTTGTGAGACAGGGTCTCACTCTCTCACCCAGGCTGGAGTGCAGTGGTATAATCTCAGCCCACTGTAGCCTCGACCTCCTGGGCTCAAGGGATCCTCCCAGCTCAGCCTCCCAAGTGGCTGGGACTACAGGTGAACACCATCACACTTTTTTTTTTGTACAGATGGAATCTCATCATGTTTCCCAGGCTGGTCGTGAACTCCTGCCTGCCTCGGCCTCCCAAAGTGCTGGGATTAGAGATGTGAGCCACCGCACCTGGCCTAGCTTCAGTACACTTAATGTGCTTCCAGCTCCCCACTTAGATTCCTAATGAATGGCCCTGATGAGCCATTCTCAGGTATAAAATACCCTTGATTATCAGCATGAGAGTATGAGCTTCAGAGGTGGCATGTTTGGGTGCCACATACCCATACATAATTCCTGGGAAGTTAATTTCTGCCTTGCTATTCACCTGCCCTTCTATTGCTCTGAGAGGGATCTTGGATTAATTACTAAACCTTTCCGAGCCTTGGTTTCCATATCTGGAAAAAGTAAAGCTACAATTATATCATACCAGGTTACAGTGTGGAGCAAATTAGGTAATGAGTGTAAAAATATTTTATAAATTGAAGTCCTGACCACATGGCTTTTTGTGACAGTAGAGGGAAGTGTTCTGGAAACATGGGCTTTGGAGACACACAAAGCTCCAAATTTTGCATTCAAATCATGGCTTGACAACTTGTTAGCTCTGTGACCTTGGACAATTTACTCACCCTCTCTGAGTCTCATCCATCCATTCATTCATTCATTTTAACAAACTTTTACCATGTGTCAGGTACTCTGGGGTCTGGGAATACAGCAGTGAATAAGACAAACAAAATTCTACCTCTCAGCTAGCTTATACTCCAAGGGAGGGAGACATACAATAAACAAGTAAACAAATATACATGAAAGAGAATTTTGAAAAGTGTTATGTGCAGGAAATTGAATGTGGTGATAGGGCAGAGCGACTCAGAAGGGCTACCTGGGTTTTCAGGGTTGGGGAAGGCTTCTCCGGGGAAGTGACATTCCAGCTGAGACCTTAATAACCAAAAGAGAGCATTGCAAGCAGAAAATAAAAAGCACCCAATGCAAATTAAAAGGTCTTAAAGAAATCATTTAGTTTGCTCTATAAGTAGAAAGGATATCTCTGTGGCTGAAACATAAGAGGAAAGTGGAGGGTGACAAAATGAAGGTCCTAGAAATGAATCTGGAATTTATTCCAAGAGCAATGGAAGCTTTGGAAGGAAATGACATAATTGGATTTATATTTTCTAAAGTCCCTTAGAAGAATGGGTTCATGGGACAAGAGTGGAAGGCAGACTATTTGCTGAATCTAAGAGAAAAGTGATCGTGCGTCAGATTAGAAGTCATGGAGGAGAGAAGTGAATAAAATGGGAGGTTTCAGAGGTAGAGTTGGTGACATTTTCTGTTGGATTGGGTACAGATGTAGCTGGAGTGATGAGAGGAAGTGAGAAATCAGGGATAACCTAGGTTTTTATGTTAATCAATTGGGTAGCTGGAGATAGGGAAGACTGGTGGAAAAGCAAGAGCATGGGGGGAACATGAGAGGTTTGAAGTGACTGTTAGATATCCAAGCGGAGCTGTAGGCAGTAAGACATACAAATCTAGAGCTCCAAGGAGAGAGAAATTTGAGACATTGGTTTACACATGGTTCTTAAAGTCAAGCGAATGGATGGGATTGCCTATGAAAGAATAAATAAAGAATAGAGATCCAAGGACTGGGCCTTGGGGGACTCCTATCTTTAAACGTTAGCACAGAAGGCAGAGATAGCACAGGTGATGAGGAGTAGCCAATGAAGTAGGTGAGGGGAGATGGAATGGATAAGAGGAGACTGGCCTTTGATCAGGGCTGGGATGCTCCAACCATAATTAGAGAGAAGGCTGTGAAGGCGTGAAGTACCTCCTAGATACTAATGCTGCAGACTTTCACTTCCTCTCCTAAGTATTAGAGCAAGTTGTATCTCCAAAGGGGATCTAAGGAAGCTCTACATTGCATCCTTAGGCACCAAGGCTATGAACCCAGGGAGTCTTGCCCCTGGTTTCCCTCCCAATTTAGGTATACAGCTCTCAACATGGGCAGTTACATGGGACCCGTTCTCCACCACCCTTGCCAGGGCCCCAAGTTTGTAAATGGCTAGGAGGATTGCTCTGCCATTGTGTAAGATGCTCTCCTCCCCCAATTTCTACCCAGCTTACCCACCCCATGCAATACAATCTCTAAGCCTTGGCTCCTTGACCAGGGCCTTAGAACTGATGACCCAGTACTTTAATAACTGGAACTGGGCCTGCAACAACATAATAGATCAGGATGAAAGCGAATTGAGTGTATATGTAGGGATGGCCCAAATGCATTCAATGTGTAGCGGCAACTGCTTTGTTAACAGAAGAAAGCAGAAAAATAACTTTTAGAGGAAACCTCATTGTGAGCACACCTCACCAGTTCATACCTATCCTAAGTCCAAAAAAAAAAAAGGTAGCTTACTAACTTAAATATTTTAAAGTATGGGGCTATTCTGTTTTTAAAAAGATGATTTAACATTAACCACTGGAAATTCCCTTAACCCAGCAGATTTCCTAACAGGGGATTTAAATCTTAATTACCATACAAAGGTCCGACCAGACCTAGGAGGTACTCCCTTCAGGATAGGAGGATAGATGGTTCCTCCTGGGCGATTGAGGGGAAAAACCATAACAAGTATTCAGTAATTGATAAGGAAACTCTTGGGCGATTGAGAGAAAAAACCATAATGGGTATTCAGTAATTGATAAGGAAACTCTTGTAGAAGTAGTTAGGAAAATTGCCTAATAATTGGTCTGCTCAAAGGTTCTAGCTGTTTGCACTCAGCCACGCCTTAAAGTACTTAAAAAACCAGCAAGTCTATCTTTTTCTCCTCACTTTCCTTCTTGTAGGAAAAAGGCACATAGGATAAACAGGATCCATCTCTCATATTTCATACCCAAAAGGACTTCATCCAGGGCAACCAAAAGTTTAAGATCGATAATTAGGGCATATTCCTACAAAGGAAAAGAAGGACAAAGGCCCTAGTGGGCAAAAACTATCTTAATCCTGACTCAAAAGGTTACCTACACCCTCTCTGAAATGAATTTATATAAGACCTGTTGTTTATGGGAATGCATCTTGATGGGGAACTGGGTTGCCCAGCCCAGCGCTAGAACTCATCTCTGAGCGCAAAGCCAATGTTGGGCACGCTGGTAAAGGACCACTAGAATCTGGCAACCCAGACCCCCTTCTTTGTGTTCAAGAAACGTTTGAAAACAGGTGCAGGACTGCTACATGGGTGAGAGTAACTAATCCGACAAGCAGAGGTCCATGGGTGGTTACGAACCCTGGAAAGGAACAAGCATTAGGACCACAGAGGATGCTCCAGGACTAATGCTTATTGGAAAATGACTAGGGGTGCTGGCATCCCTTTGTTCTTTTCTCAGATGGGAAACATTTCCCCCCAAGGCAAAAACGCCCCTAAGATGTATTCTGGATAGATCTAATGTTACTGCAAGATCAGACACTAACCCCAAATGAGAGAAGCACTACCATAATTGCAGCCCGAGAGTTTGGCAATCTCTGGTATCTCAGTCAGGTCAATGATAGGATGACAACAGAGGAATGAGAACCATTCCCCACAGGCCAGCAGGCAGTTCCCAGTGTAGACCCTCATTGGGACGCAGAATCAGAACATGAAGATTGGTGCCGCAGACATTTGCTAACTTGCGTGCTAGAAGGACTAAGTAAAACTAGGAAGAAGCCTATAAATTGATCAGTGATGCCCACTATAACACAGGGAAAGGAAGAAAATCCTACTGCCTTTCCGGAGAGACTAAGGGAGGCATTGAGGAAGCATACCTCTCTGTCACCTGACTCTATTGAAGGCCAACTAATCTTAAAGAAAAACTTTATCACTCAGTCAGCTGCAGACATTAGAAACAAACTTCAAAAGTCCACCTTAGACCTGGAGCAAAACTTAGAAACCCTATTGAACTTGACAACCTTGGTTTTTTATAATACAGATCAGGAGGAGCAGGCGGAACAGGACAAACAGGATAAAAAGAAGGCCACCGCTTTAGTCATGGCCCTCAGGCAAGCAGACTTTGGAGGTTCTGGAAAAGGGAAAAGCTGGGCAAATCGAATGCCTAATAGGGCTTGCTTCCAGTGCAGTCTACAAGGACACTTTAAAAAAGATTGTCCGAACAGAAATAAGCCACACCCTCGTCCATGCCTCTTATGTCAAGGTAATCACTGGAAGGCCCACTGCCCCAGGGGACAAAGGTCCTCTGAGTCAGAAGCCACTAACCAGGTGATCCAGCAGCAGGACTGAGGGTGCCCAGGGCAAGCGCCAGCCCATGCCATCACCCTCACAGAGCCCCGGGTATGTTGACCATTGAGGGCCAGGAGGTTAACTGTCTGCTGGACACTGGTGAAGCCTTCTTAGTCTTACTTTCCTGTCCCGGACAACTGTCCTTCAGATCTGTCAGTATCCAAGAGGTCCTAGGACAGGCCGTCACTAGCTACTTGTCTCAGCCACTGAGGAGTGACTGGGGAACTTTACTCTTTTCACATGCCTTTCTAATTATGCCTGAAAGCCCCACTCCCTTGTTAGGGAGAGACATTCTAGCACAAGCAGGGGCCATTATACACATGAACATAGGAGAAGGAACACACGTTTGTTGTCCCCTGCTTGAGGAAGGAATTAATCCT